GATCGTACGTCTAGAAATTAAATTATTCAACAAATAAGTTCTGATAATATTGCCATACTGCAGCGCAACCCAAGCGCAATCGCCTGTATATGTGAGTGTGTGTGTGTGCGTGTATTTGTTTGCATGAGTGCGTGTGTGGGTGCTAATTAGTTGCTTGTAGGGTTCAGGGGATCTCGTAGTCGAGCAGTCTCGACTAGAGCTTTCTTACTTGTTTTATCTTAATGCTTTTTCTTGCCAAGTCATGCAAATGAGCGCATTCTCAGCGACTTGTTTACACGCTCCGAGTGTTAGAGCAGCCATCGAAAGGCGGCACAGCTGTTTCTGCAGAAATACAATCTATATATGTATATACATTCTATATACGCTATGTATGTATGTATGTATGGATAATAAAGAAATAAATGCACTACACTTCAGTTCAGTCGACAGAATGTTACAAAAGCGCAGTCTGGCTTTTGTTCACTTGATCTTTCGTCGCATTCTAAATGCAAATTATGCAGTTAGATTCGTGTTTTGGCAGGTTAGACTTAGTCACATTTTAATTATGTAAATCAGGCGTTAGTTGACCTAAGGCCCAAACACCCTCAAGCTGTTAAAAATCAAAGCTGATGCCATTCAGCACTCTTAATCTCTACAATATTTGATCAAGTGCAAATTGTCTTTGTTCCGTTGCATTATCTGTCAATAAAAATATTGTAGTGCCACATCAGCTTAGACGCACTGATAAGCACTAGGAAACAAGCAAGAACACAAGTGGAAAATTACAGCGAACAGTCTACAATTGTTAGATACTCTATATTCAAAATACGACTCTCCGAATAAGTAATCAGGAATAGATTTATGTCTCTTTAGGTAAGCAATGGAATTGATTAGTCAAAGAGCCCAATTTTAATAGTAAGCATCTTAGCCAAGCATATAATCTACATACTTGACTTTGGTTTATCTTCTTCCATTTTTCTTCAAGAGATTTGATGATTCTATGAGTATACCTCACTTCGGCATTCGGCAAAAAGGGTATAATAAAAACAATTTTGATTTCAGGCAAAGCCCGCAGCAGATAGAGCGTTATGTGTTTATTAATACATATGAGTACGTACGTCCGTCTTTGCCTTGATTTACTTTTCGCGTCAATATTTGCCTTCCATAAACAGCTGAGCTGCCGCCTGAAAAGTTTACAAAACGAGCGTTAAATTCACACCCCTAAATTGGCGCTTAGTTGAGCTAGCCTAAGTGCTTCATAATATTCATATGTGTATATATATTTGCACGTATATATAGATAACATTGAGCTGGCCTTTTCTCGCCCTCTGTTGACACAGCATTCTGAGACGAGTTTCGATTCGTGTGCCTAATCGATTGGGGCGTGTCTTCAGAGCGATAATGGCGCTTGGAGATAAGCTTCAAAAAGTATATTTTGGGCGAATATGCTCTATTGCTTGGTGTAGGGTATTTGGTGCAGGCATTACTGAATTCACGTTTCATTAGGTTAATTTGAAGTGAAGAGAGGTAAATCAGAGAGCTTAAATATCCGCCGATTGGGCTATTCGATATACCCATGCCGGCAATAGACTTGCTAATGATATCTTTCGGTCTCTCAATGCCGATATATAACTCAAAACTTATTATCTTTAAATATTTTGTGGCCCTCTTTAAAAACTTTATCTATCTATTTTCATCAGTCTATATCAGGCAGATGTGTGAAGAGACATAGAGCGCTTGAATTGGAGAGAGAGAGCGCAAAGAAGACAGAAAGTGAAAAAGACGAAAGGCAGAGATTGGAATAGAGTCTTAAGGCGCGAGAGTAAGAGTGTGAATGAGAGAGAGAGAGAGGGAGAGAGAGTCAGATAGTATGCTCTACATTTAAGGCTAGACAGAAAGAGAACAAAGTGCAAGTTATTAATGACATTTAGACTTTTTTTTGTTATTTCACGAAATCTTTTGTTCACGACCTACTTCCGCGAGCCCAATAGCTCAATAAATACTTTTAGCAAAACTGCTCTTTACAAATATTGTTTGTTGGCGAAATGAAGAGTGTGCTGTGCTTCCATTGCAGACTTGCAACTTCGGGCAACACGAGCGAGTCTCTTTGCTCAACGCACTCTGCCTGGGGCTTAAGTAGGGCATGTAAACTGCGCTTTAGCCCGGACGTAAAACGAAATAAATTTTGTTTACATTTCACAGTCGCTGGTCGCGTGTTCAATGCTCCCATGATGCTCGACTCCGATCACATTTGCCCAGACTGCCGCATATACATATACATATACATATGCATATATGTATGTATATTGGGATATATAATCGTTTAGTATGGAAACTGGTCGAACGATAGAACGCAGCTCGGATGAGCTCATACGCCCTGCGTGTCGCCGACTTGTTGCTGTGGGTTCAAAGTTGTGTCGTTCGAGTGGACATGTCGAAATCAGCTGATAGTCATAAGTTGCTTTGCTGAGCAGCTGATGCGTAGTACCAAAGACATGCAAGCCCAACCCGGCCAACAAATGTGAAGTCACTTAACTGGGCTATTTTTTTTTTTTTTTTCGCAACATGCAGTTTTTGAGTGCTGCTTAGCTAGAGTCATGTGAGCATTACAGTGCTAGAATAATATCTACGACTAACTGGTAATACCCAAGAGGAATATTTGTGTATAAATATATACAAAATATGTTAAATATATACATAAATAATTTTGTTTAATATTCTCTTGTTTGGTTTCTCAATATTCCTCTGTATTTTGTAAAATCTTCGAATATATGAAAATAATAATAATAATAGAAGATTAATATATCAAATAGTTTTGCAATATTTTGTTCTTCCAATATTCATTGTCTCTGTGAATTCATGTGGTGCGGAAATTCTTTTACCTACAGCTAGATCTTATTGCTTATCAATAACTGGTCATTGTTTGTAATTAGCCGATAAGGAATGTTTACTCACTCGATGTGGCATAGGGCCAACGCGTGCCTCTGCTCTGGAAAGGCTCATGCAAATATTATAGATTGACTCCCTAACTGAGTCACAGGCATACGATTGATTATTAGTCCACATATGTATATAAACATATAAGCATGCATATATGACTTATTTCTGTATGTATGTATGTATGTATGTGCTGTGTCATGGTCCGAAGCCAGTTGATATTTATTTTTAATTTCACAATCAAAACAGAAAACGTAAATTGTTAATTTATTTATTGTATTTATTTTTTTTTAATATTTTATTATTTGTATTCATATGAAAATAGCGCAAGGGAGTCTCTTATCTCCGAATTTCACATACCATCTCTTTCTCTCTTCCAGCTGCTGTGCTGAGAATTTCATCAGCTGTTCCGCATCGCCAGCAGCAACAATGCTACGACTGTTGACTTGCGCCTAATAAAAATGCAATTGTTATGGTTCGGAAAATAGAGCGTGGCCCGCTGCATTGGATGTTGAACAGAACCCAAATCAAAATGAGCTTTGGAAAATGTGCCAGCGCCGGCAGCAGCAACAACAACAACAGCAACAACAACAATAGCCGATTATGATGTAATGAGAGCGAAGCAAAAGTGAAGCAGCGCTCGCCAATTGTAATTGCAAAAAGATTATACAATTTGTGAGTTTGCAACGAACTAGGACAACAGCAACAGCAGTAGCCGCAGACAGACTCTAAGAGCTGATAAATACCGGCTGGCAACAGCAACAATGCAGTCTGCAGCTGCAGCAACAACACCAACAGCAACAGCAGCAGCAACAGAGAAGGCAGCATAAATTCAAAGTCGCTGCGGTATTAATTGAGCGGCAGCGTGGGAACTACAAATCACAGCAGCAACAGCGGCAGCGGTAGCAGCAGCAATCAGCGAGAACAACAACAACAACAACAATAACACGGAGAGCAGCTACAACAAATTGCCGCTCAGCACGCTCACTGCTCTCACAGCGCTCCGAGCACAGCAGCAACTGTTGCTGGCGCTCAGCTGAGAGCGCTCGCTGCCCATATATATTTTGAGGCGTTGCGGTCGACGCACACGACAGTTGTGCTTGAAACGCTTCGTAGTGAAGATCGTGCTCGATCAACGCGCGGAAAAAGAAACGAAATCAGAAACATATACAAATTCATCGAGAAATTACAATTTGTTTAAACCAAAAAGCAAAGCAACAGGAATACAAAATCAATGTAAACGCAAGAGATCCAAAGAAATTGGATTTGCATGTGGAAAAAAAAAACGAAAAAGAAATTTTTTTTTAGAAATTTTTGTTCAATATCGACGACGAGCTTCGCGCGTAAATTAGCAAGCGTTTGCAAGAAACAAGCTACAATAAAACTAACAGCAACAACAACAACAAAAGCAACTACAAATAAATTGGAAAATAAAAAAGAAGAAGAAGAGTGCAACGTGTAAAACAAGTGAAATTTTTGTTAGTGCATGTGTCTCAAAAAGTCACAAGCAACGCACAGAAATAAAATGCAACAAGTGACTCTCAAACTGTAAAGTGATGTACGTGCAACAAATACAACAACAACAAATAGAAAAACTAAAACAAGAGACAGAAGTGTTAATAATCGACGAGCAACAACAATTGTTGGTAGCGTAAAGAAATGGCCATTGATTTCCTCATCTTGGCCCTGCTGCTCATCTCGTTCATCATCAATCTGCTGGCGCTGTGCGCATTCTGGATAACGCCGGGACTGCGCACCACAGCGAATCGCTTCACCATCAATCTGCTGATCATCAATCTGATTGGCTGCTGCATTCTGGCACCGACTCTGTTCCTCAGCGGCATTAAGAGCTTCTCCGGGCAGGAGCAACAGCTGGTTGGCCGCAATGCGGCCGGCGACAGCATTGAGTTCTACTCGAAGCCGGGCAACCATCAGCTAACCATTCGCCGTCATGGCCAACTCGTGGAGCAGGACGGCATTGTGGTGCGCCGCAACATCACCACCACCAACAGCAGCAGCGGCGGCGGCAGCAATGACAGCTCCGGCGATACCATAGAGATGATCTACAAGTGCAATGCCACGTATTGCCGCGAGCTGACCATCGATGAGCGTGGAGATGGCGGCATTGTCATCACGGAGACGGAAACTCAGGAGGATAATCTGAGTGTGCCGGTGCACAGTAGCTTCTCGCTGCCAGCGGTGCAGCTGCGTTGCTGGTCCATCGATATGACTGCCGCACTGGGCGCCCTGGCGGTGCTGCTGGTGGTGGGCGACACGTGGTGCGCGGTGACCGACCCGCTGCGCTATCACAGTCGCATCTCGGGCGTCAAGACATGGGTGTTCATCACGCTCACCTGGGCGGTGGGCATACTGTTCGGTGCGCTGTCCGCGTTTCGTGTGCTCGACTTCGAGGCGGACACGCTGCTCAGCAGGCAGCGGCGCCTGGCCGCCACCTACTTCAACATCAGCAGCACGAACAGCATCTTCGACGTGATCTATGCGTGCGTGTACTTCATCGTCATCATCCTGCTGCCCTTCGGCTTTGTCTGCGGCATGTACTGGCGCATCTTCAGCGAGGCGCGCGGCAATGGGCTGCGCATGAGGCAGAACGGCTCCTCGCCGCTGCTGCAGAGCGCCCTCAATCTGACCAACCATGCCCAGGCCGCGCCCGCCGCGAACTACACGAACAGCCTGTGTGTGCACAGACATTCCATATCCTCGGCCAGCTCACACGGCGGCGTCACCGGTGGCCTCCAGATGCAGATCGATCATCGGGCGCCGCGCAGCTCGCCGAGCTGTCTGCGCCGGGACTCGGCCGCCAAGGTGCTGCTGCCCACGATCTCGGACGATGGCTCCGACGTGGATGTGGAGAGCAACCATGGCGGCATGCCGCTGATGAGCGTGCCCGAGCAGTCGCTGGCCGATCGCAACCAGAACATCTTGCTGACACTGCAAACAGCCAGCGGGGAGATCAAGCGCAACTACTCGGCCAGGCAGCTGCCCCTGCTGGGCACGTCGTCGCAGGATCTGCGCGAGCTGCAGCGCGTGCAGGGCATCCGGCAGGTGCACAGCTCGCCCAATCTGCACAAGTACACGGAGTTGCCGCAGGATTTGCTGGGCGAGGAGTGCAGTTCGCCCCACCTGCTGCACGCCCATCGCCAGCAGGAGCAGCCGCAGCTACAGCAACACCTGCAGCAGCAGCAGCAGCAGCCATTGCCGCCTCAGCAGCATCAGCAGCAGCACACCCACTTCAGCACTGCACGCCAGCAGGCGGCAGGAGGAGGACATGCGCTGCAAATTCCCGCCATTCACGCCTCCCCGAAGGCTCTCAGCTACATGAGCTCGCTGCGCCATCGGCTGAGCAATGCCAGCTCCCTGTTCAAGTATCGGGAGGAGTCGCGCGCCGCACGCATCAGCATCCTGGTCGTGGTCATGTTCGTGGTCTCCTACCTGCCCTATGGCCTGCTCGTGCTGCTGCAGTCGCGCCTGTCCGCCGCGAACTTCACCGGCTCCACTCAGCTGGCCATCTTCATGATCCTGCTGGCCAATCTCAGCTCGCCCTTCATCTTCGCCTACCGCAACAAGCGCGTGCGGCGCGGCGTCAAGCGCCTCTTCGGCCTGGACTCGGCCAGCGCACTCCAGCGCCATCCCAGCAGCAGCATGAAGACCAACGGCAACAGCGCAACGGCCGCCAGTGCACCTCAGCTGCAGCGCAACAGCAGCAAATTGTCGCAGTACAGCAGCAACAGCTGCCGGTATCTGACGCCGCAGAGCTCGCTGGCCAGCCAGTGCCAGACGGCGACGCCAGTGCACACGACGCTGACGCTTCGGCCGAACAGCAGCTGCAGCACCATCATCAACTTCGGCGGCCACAACAACAACAAGGGCTCCGCGGACTCGGATGAGGTGCCCTCGCTGGAGGCAACGCCGCCGCCGGCCCCGCGCCAGGCCCGGCCCAAGCTGCAGCGCGGCATCACGATCGTGGAGCACATCCATATAGCCAGCTCGCCGACCAAGTTCCAGTCGCGGCGCAATCTGCTCGACATGTTCTTTCGGGGATCCAGGAAGCTGCAGTCGGACTGCGCGCAGTCGATGCCCACGGAGGTCTAGACAAACTAGCTCTAAGTAACTACTAAACTAGTAAACATTGATTTGCTTGCTGAAGAATTCGCAGAACAGTATTCGTAACTCATAAGTTTAGCAACACTAAGCCAAAAACAACAACAAAAACAACACAAAGAAACACAAATATTAATATTATGCTCTGCTAGAAGCTTCTCATGCCAAAAACAAAACAAAAAATGATATATACTAAAAAATTTCACACAATTATTAAATATGCATATGCTTGTAAAACTGTGAAAAGCAAAGGCAGACAGCTATAAGTACCTTGTAAAACATTTATCCAGCTAGATAACAACTTAAAATACAAAGATAGCAACAACTGTGTACAAGTCTCAGCAAAAAAGAAACAAGAATGCAAAATTTTAAAACAGTCTTTAACAAATTAAGTAAATAGCTTAGATGTTATATCAAAACGGGAATCAAGCAGCCAATTTCGAGTACCTAACAAAAGAACAGCTAAACATATGAATATAGTATATATATATATACACTTGAAGAAAAAACACAGCTACACTTTTTAAGTCAATTGCTAAAGACTCTCACATGAACCACAAGAAACGACACTTATTTATTTATTATTATTTAATTTGGTAAATATTTATTAATTAAACACAACAAGCTTTAACAAAAAAAAAGAAAAAAAAAACAAAACAAAAAAAAAAAACATAAATAAAAATATTACAAAAACAAAAGAAAAACACAAAACATTCTGTCTAAAACCCAACGCTAAGCATTCAATTCATAAGCTAAGTAAATGTGCATAGCATATATATATATATATATATATATATATATTATATAATTAAATATTTATATATATATATATTATATTGTATTAATCTACTATAGATTTATATGTATACTATAGAGCCTGGCACTTAGTGCTTTTTATATATATATACATATTTGATTTCTAGATATTGCAAGCGGCAGTTTTCATATTGAAAACTCGTTTCTGTTCTCTGCAATGTCTTCTTCTTTCTATGTTCGCTGTCAGACCTACATTTTTGTATTTAATTCATAAATTGTTTTTGATTATTGTCCATTAAAGTCAATTTGCTTTTTAGTACTTCAGTCATTGCGTGCAGCTAAATACCTCATTAGTTTTAATTTCAAAAAAGAGTTATAAAAATAAAATGTATATGTATATAATGTATTTGCCGCCTCAGATCGAAAGCTTTATATTGTCTAAGTTCAATTCAGTAATATAATTTCACTTTTTGTCGCCATTTGACTTGCTTACGACTAGCAAAGCCTTTTGTAACTTAAAGATACAAAATACACACACACACACACATACATACGCACATACACACACAAAGAATACAAAACCTCGAATTTATATTTCTAAAAATTTACATGAAACAAAAATAAAGATATATTTATATGTATTATTATATAAAATTATATATCTATGTCTTGTGTATGTTCTGTGTGTGTAGACATGAAAAAAAAAAAAAAATGAAACAGTTCCCAGACATTTAAAAAACAATTAATGTGATGCAAGGTAGAGTACCGAAGAGAGAAAGAGAGAGAGAGAGAGAGTCGATGAGGATGGCGAAAGAAATGTAAGGAAATGCATTCAAAAACTAACTAAACATGTATTAATAGTTTATAAATATGTATACAAATAGTGCTATTTTTTCAAATGTCAAAACCTATTTACTATTCATGCAAACCAAACACAAATTCGATGTGACAAATTATCTTATAAAGTTGAAAGGCAACCGAAACAAAATGAAACCAAACTAATGTAATGTAAAAAAAAACCTAACTACAGTACAATTACAAATTGGTAGCTACAACAACAAGACATCTATTTTATCAAGTATATTCTCGTTATGCTGCAAATTTCAAAGATGAAAAAAAAAAAAAGAAAAGTAATATAAAATATGCTATTCCAAGAGAACAACAACTATTTAAATAAAAGAATATGTGTCTTAAAAATTAATTAATTATTATGTCTTTTTATTGGCTGGACTTTAATTCGCTTTTTTTTATTAATTTCAATTATTTTTTCTTGCAGCCAAACTTGTTTTATCTGCGACTGCCCACGCAGTTCATGCACGATAGCTGATATGTATGACATAATAGAGGGTGTACTCAGAAGTTTGCAAGAAATGCTTTTGAAATAGATCTATTTATAAAAATGATTTTCAACAAGAATTTCAGGTAGAGAGATATACTATAAAGGGCTGATGGGCAAAGCGTGTGTGAACTCTGTTGAATATATTCAGGTAGAGACTGAGAATCTAGATATGAATCGAAATAGCAAATGAATCTGGCTGCTGAGAGAATACAATTTGAAAATTATTAAATTATTATTATTATTATTTTCATAAACATCTACAGCTTTAATAAAAATTACATGAAATACATTTAACAACGTATCGATCCAACCTCTGCGATTCGCATACACCACAAGAGCTCTAGAACACGAACAGGCACTTGACGACAACTGTGGACTTTAGGGAGCCGCAGCTCAACAATTCAATTGCGAATGCTGTGAATGCTTTTTCATATATACGTGACCATATTAATTGATACATTCAGCGGGAGCTACAAAAAGGAGAAAAAAATGTATTAGAGTTGGCGACTCGCTTCAAGTAAAATGGAAATGAGAAATGAATAAAAAAATAAAAAGAAAAAACTAATATTCATTCAGAACTTTGATTGTCACTAATGGTGGTGGTGGTCAGCAGCTGCTGTAAATGGGGCGTTGAGTGGTGCCGAGTGGTGACAAGTGCCGCACCACACAATAAATAATTCACAAAGCCAACGGGTTTGCCCATTTCAAGTTCAGCTCGCACTCGGCTCATTCATATTTGGTGGCACACGTGGGGGGCGTTTGGGCGTTCTGAAATGTTTGGCAATGCGGTTTGGCGATTAATTTCAAGTTGGTTTAGCACTGGCCAGCACCACTTGTACCGTACAAGATAATGCTATGGGGCGTGACTAATCAGCAGGCATGCTAGCTTACCTGTGAGTCAGTCACCTCTTGGCGCCAAAGTTTGCTATCTTTGCGATTTGCTGCATAGGGGTGACAGCTCTGCACAAATAGAGCACACGCGCACTTATCACGCACACGCACACACCTCTAATCAACATGAGCGGCGACCCCATGACCCCCTACACTCAGCATCCGTCGCACTCAGCTCTCAGCTTCAGCGGATGCGTAGCTGTCACTCAGCAGTGCGGACACCATAACAAAAACCCAAACCCGAAAATGAAACAGCAGCAACAGCAACAACAACAACAACAACAGCAACAGCAACTGAAACCAAAACCAACTGTTTATTTATTTTATGATTCACTCGATTCAACTATGCGTGAAAAAATGCCGCTCTCTCACAATTTGATACATATATGGTATATATTATATACATATACATACATATATATATATGTATATGTATGTGTGGATAACAAACGAAAGCAATTTTTTTTTTGCTCTGGCATTTGCCAATTGTTGAGCAAAAAAAAAAAAAGGTTGCAAAACAGAATTTTGAGTTGGATATTTGAAATATACACACATATATATATATATATATATATATATATATATATATATATATATA